AGCCGATATTTCATTGATTATATTATTTATATTTATATCATCTATACGATATTCGAATGTTTGTTTTTAGATGTTTCGCCTAGCTATCTTCCAAATATCAGCCTTTTATATTAAAAAATTTCGACCAGTGATATATTAGCAATAAATATGTGAGATGATCCAAAGAGAAATTTTAAGTTTGTGCTTCATAATAATTAAAACATTCTTATAAAAATGATAGTACATATATATTAATATGAAAATACAAGTTTACTAAACTTAAGTAAATGTGATATTTGGACCTGGAACACAAATCATAAATCATGTGATATAATTTTAATCATTAATGTAAATGTTTGGATTTGAAAATAAATTTACATAATTTATTTTTAATAGTAAATATAAACTATTGCTCTAAAAACATACTCAATTCAATACACAGTTTGCAATTTAATTTGTTCATGCAAAATGAAAAGAATACAATATATCAAATCCTATAGTTTTCTAGTATAGTTTAGATCATTTAGTTGATCTACTACTCTAACTTATATAACAAACTCTAAAGATAATGGTGCATAATAAGTAGTTATAATTGGTTTGAAAATGATCTAAGTTAGTAAAGATCATTTTACTTTGTATCTTGAACTTACTTTATTGTTTTTAAAATTCACAATTCGATTGGCTGATCGATATTTTTCATATTTGGTAATGTAAAGTCAAAGTTAGGATTACTTTTCGTGAAGCAGTTAGTAAACAAGAATATAATTTATATAATATGTAGATTAATATATAAACTTAGCTTTAATGAAAAACTAAATAGTACAAAATAATTAATTATATAAACTGTTTTAGTATTACCAACCTGCAAAAGAAATACAAAAAAATAAAACAAACCAAGAAATTGCTCATAACTTAGTATTTTATCTATGAAACCACCTACTGTGCACTAATAAAAAGTTTTTCATCATGAAATTTTGGTATTATTAAAGCCTTTCTAATCTAACTTAGTAATAAACCTAATCCTAACAGTAAAATTTTTTTATCAAAATTTTTTAGATTTGTAACGCTAGATCAGTTTAGTTATGTAGGGATTATTACAAATATTTTACGTACATATATACGTATGCAGGTAAATCATATATTTTATCAAAATTTAATTGTCTCATTATATATTTATTTAAATATAATTCTCATTATACATTTTATCTATATATAAATAGACTGCTTTTGTAATTAAAGGTTAATTTTTTTTTTGCAAATAACGAAATAAGAATTGTTATTGCAGATATTAAATGGTTAGACCTTGTGATGATTTATACACACACTCTAAAACAGAAATTTGCTATTCGTCCAGGGAGAGTAAGATGATCTTGCTTGTTACACAAATGAACCAAGCTTGTAGTGAATAATTCTCAAGATACATTAATTAATAAAATATATTTAATAATAGTTATGGCAATTCTGAAGACGTTGTAATCAACAATAATGACTTTGAAAATAGTAATGAAAGTGATAACAACTTTGAAGACAGTAATAAAGATAATAATGTATCAATTATTAATGACAGCTCTGGAGATAGTAATGAAGACAAATATGATAATCTTGAAAACATATTAATTAGCAGTAATAATCCTGAAGATAGTATTGAAGACAATAATTGTAAAGACAGTAACAAGAATTTTGAAGACACTTTAATAGTGATAATTTTGAAGACAGTAATGATGATATAAATATAAATAATATAATCAATGAAATATCGGCTTAAAATCATAGGAAGATATAAAGATGTTATATTAA